TCTCTCTGTGCAGAAAGTGTGTGTGTGTGTGTGTGCGTGTGTGTGCGTGTGTGTGTTTGTAGCAGCTAAACCGACTGCAGCAGACTGAGACGGCAGCAGCCTTCTAGGTGTAAAAAACCAGGTACTTCAAATTGAAAGTTCTGGGGCGTCACTGCTGTGAGGGCATGAGTGAAAGATGCATGCCCCTCATGAGGGCAGATAGGGGAGGGACCGTTGCAATGGGAGCCACCGTCCAGCATGGGCATCGAGGAAAGTTGCGCCCTCTGCTGACAGGGCCCTGCAGAGAAGTTCAGAGGCCCCAGGAGCGCAACAGGGAGAGTCGCCTTTGGAGGGTTGCGACACAAATAAATGGAACTTTGAGGAGCTCGATCCAAATTTTCCCTTTTTTTCTTGTCTTGAGAAAACAACGGTGCAGTCAGGGTTACAGTTTGTAATGGCATTTCAAACTGCATTTTAGCAGTTTTGTCAGGGCCTGAGTTTCAAATTCAGTTGAAACTCGGGCTGACCTTTTTTAGCAGTTCAGTCAGGCACGTGGGCCTTTTTTTTTTTTTTTTTTTTTTTCCCCCTCGGTCATGTGACGGGGCCACAGCCGGGACCATGTCCCACTTGAACCGTTTAGTTGAGGCAACTCAACTGAAACGGTATTCACCAGTTCGCAGTAGCTGATGCAGATCCCAGGGCTCGATCCCTAGTCCCCACCTTACCTGTGTACAGTATCTGTGTCGAACCCTAGAGTTGAACCCGTGCCCTGTGTATTTGTAACAGTGGTGGGTTGTCGTAGGGTCCATAGGTAGCAGGGGTTCGATCTGTAGACCTGTCGAGTAGGAGTCTCAGTCAGGTCTAGAAGTCATAGCTGTAGCTTTCTCGAAGGGTCAAGGTCGTAGCTGCTACAGTCCAGAAAGGTCAAGGTCGTAGCTGCTGCAGTCCAGAAAGGTCAAGGTCGTAGCTGCTACAGTATCGAAAGGCCAAGTCTACGGCCTTCCGGAAGGTCCGAGTAGTGGACTTTCGAAGTTGCCCACGTTTAGGCTACGGCAAGTGGTGAGGCAAGTGGTGGAGTCTACCCGTGCTGAGTCAGCAGTCCCAGTCCTAGTCAGTCCTGGTCCAGTCAAGCAAGTACCGCATGGGACTGTGTGCACTACGGGCATGGGAAAGGGGCCAGACCAACGTGCTGCAGAAGTATAAATCAAGAGGCAGCGCCCAGCCATTCATTCATTCCTGCGTGAGCCATGCGGAAGCGCTGCCATAAGCGACATGTGCGAGGTGGTCTGCAGTGAGCCCGAGGACGAAGTGGGCGAGAGAGAAGGAGTTTAGCCATAGCGATAGGGTAGTGGCGGCCATAGCCGCCATAGCTGTAGGTAGAGTTCAGTGTAATATGTGTGTGTGCGTGTTCAGAGTATCACAGGGCAGCACCCCAGCTCCGGTCAGCGTCGTTCTGGCATCGGCAAACCAGGGGCACATAACAAAGCAGCGCTGTTGACATCAGTCCAGTTTCCACCATCTCTGAGCGCCAATACCCCAGATACGGACAAAGACCAGATACTTATCATAGTCTAGAAACCCAGAAACAAATGATACTACCGATGATGATGATGATGATGATGATGGGTGGTTAATCTGATGAAACATGCATTGTCAGCGAAGCTGATCTGTGCGTTCGATCGAGGGGGCGCAGCGCTACCGGGAGCGCTGCGCCCCAGCAGCATCAATCATCAATCATGAGCGAGGAGCCGCGCGCGCGGGAAAACTGCACGCAACAAGGAAAATGGCGCGCGCGCTCAACGATTACGCGCGATTGAGCACACGCCCTGGGCTGAAAATTGGTCCACCGATGGGCTATGTCGAGGAGCTGAGGTGGTCCAAATTTCAGAGCAAATGGTCCAAGGGATGAGGAGATATCGAAGATCTAGCGCGCGCCATGAAATTCGAGTGTGTCGGGCGACGAGAACGACGGGGGCATGAGGTGGTGGTTGTACTGCTTGTATCTTTACGGGCGTTATGGCTAGATGCAGGCCCGGTGGACGCTCGTGGTACGATACAGCTGTTCATGAGATGACGTGGGGATTCCGAATCTGCCTTCTTCCTCAACTATAGGTAAGTGTGTGGTAAGTTTATGGCTATGGTGGTTCGAACCTCCTGTGGTGACTTGTCAACGGGCTTGGCGAGGGGTGCCACACTGTTTTCGACTCCTATAGGGATCGAAGATGGCCGCTTATACCTTTGGAGTTAGTGTTGCTTTGAGCCTTGGACTAGCAGCGGGAGGAAGTGAACTCTTCTTTCCCCAGAGGTGCAGGGGTAGGGTTTGAAGGGTGGCAGGTAAGTGGAAGGAAGGGGTTGAGGAAGAAGGGAGAAGGTTTTTTTCTCAGTTTTCACTTCGTACGGGATCAGCGTCGTCATAGTTGGGCCCTGTTATAATTCGTTGATTACTCTTCGTGGATTACTTTAGTCTCGCGTTATATTCTGATGTTGTTCTATGGGATACGATTAGGGTATCTTCAACTATTCTTCCAATATTCTTGAAATACTCTCCTATTAAAGTCTTTAATGCTTCCAATATTCTTGAAATATTCTTAAAGTCTCTAATGCTTATACCTTCTGATTCTTGGAATATTCTCCTATAAA